CCTTTGGAAAAGTGACCGAGTTGAAGAAGAAACTTGGGAAACGGAAGCCTTGATGAAGGAACAGTATGCATTTCTTTTTGAATAAGCATTTGTGAATTTCGGGGACGAAATTCCCGTTAAGGGGGGGTGAACTTGTGACACCGCACCCGGATGTACTTGAACTTGAAATTTGGCATGTAATTGATATTCCTAGAGAATAAAATTCGTGTGACAAAATTCGTATATTTAATTAATGTGCGATTAATTAAATTATCTATCGGGTCCGTAAAGTGCGAACGGACTACCAAAATATTTAGTTGGGTTATCATAATAATTATAGGAGTCCAATAAAACGCCAACCGAAGTTGATAAAAATATTTGGACAACCCGGGTGCTATTTCGGCCCGGGCCTACCGAAAATAGCAGGAATAATTGGGAGGGACTTCCTACACCCATTTGGGGATTTCTTATCTGACTTAAGGCCTCAAAATAATCACTTTGAGACAAATAAACATGGGGGTGGGCGGAGTTGCTGTTGAAGGGATGGCCTAAGTCAAATTAGAACATCAAATGACCCTACTCAACATTATTTTGAGGCTTGATTGAGTAGAGGTGCCTTCCCCCTTCCCATTCCATTCATTCGAACAACCAAGAGGAGAGAGAGCTCAAGGGAAAGTCTTCAACAAAGTCCAAGATTGAAGGCAACATCAACAAAAGAAATCCAAGGAGAAAAGAGTTGTTCTTGAGGTAAGAACACAAGTATTATCCTTTAACTAGTATTATTTTTGTATGATTTTTATGAAATCATATGGTGGATTAAACATGAAGTTCTACACGTTTAAAAGTGTAGAATAATGTTATAAAGTGGTGGTATTTAACTTAGAAGAGTCGTGGAATCGATAGGAGTTGAAATCGCCGGAAACCGCCAAGTATAGGAGGCTGTTCGTAGCTGCAGACCACGAAAGCCGCCCACCTTTCACGAAAGCCGCCCGGCTTTCGTCTGCTGCCCAGATTTTTCATCTCCAAACGGTTTAGAACGGGGATTGATCGAAGGGCTTAACAAGGACAACTATTTAAGCACTTCATAAGGTGAGGATGGCTGACTATGTTGCTTATAATCTTTGGGTTAATTTCGTAGGATTACCTAAAGTAATTAAATGTGATTTTCATGGATTATTAATGATTAATAATGCCTAAATGAAAATATTGTTGTAAATGAATAAAGGAGCATAATATACAAATTTAAGGATAAATTGTGTGATTATGTAATATGAGCATATTGGCTTGATGAAGGGATTAATTATAAATATTGTGTTGAAATATAACTTTAACTTCATATAAGGATATATGAGTGATTAAAGGTTATATTTTGTATATTGATATGAACTATATTTTCAATGGAAAATTAGTTTGGAAATTGTCTATATGACTATGAATTGAAAATGAGTTTTGTTGGAATTTATCCGACTAGTATTATGATACTAGTCGGGGTTTTGGAATGAAATATGTTAGAATTGATCCAAGGTTTGGATTGTAAATTGTTGAGCCTTAAGTAGTCTTAAGAGATACTAAGGTGGATAAGTGATGCTAGGGGTAGGCCTTAAGGGATACCCAAGGTAAAGTGAATACTAAATTGATCCTAGGAATAGGATTGGCCTACGGGTGTATTCGGTAGTCTTTAAGGATTAGCCGATAGAGTATTGGTAATTAGTAAGGACCATGGCCCTTCCCGACTCTAGAGAGCGGGGTTGGATAGCATGGACTTACATCGTGATCACGGGTTAGGGTGGAATCCGAACCGGAGACCTTACGAGGCTCCCGACAGCGGTAACACATAAGATAGGACCCCGAATGGACCTTACCTTCCTACGGGACGATGGGTATGAGTTCAGGGGCGGGATGTTGGACTCCGGCCCGAGAGCCCGGTGAGGCCTCGGAGAGCGGTGACAAATCTCGTAAGGATGATAAGACCTACGGGCGGTGTCGTGTAAACGATGATTTAAATGAAATATGAAAAGGGGCCGCGTGCCGACGAATTAATTAATTAACTTATTATGATGATAATAAGGGTTAAAGAAGAACTATCAATATATTATGATATCACTCTATTTGAGGGTCTTAGAAATTGAAACATTGATTATACTTGGTATAGTTGTCATTGTACTTGTCAAATGCTTCCAAGTACTGACCTCCCCTTCACGGGGGAGGCCACCTCACAGTTTCAGGTAGGGAGTAAAGCTTGCTACCATCGTCCGTTGCTTCGGATAGCTCAGGGAGAGAAGACGTGGTTCGTGCTTCCTCCGCTCTATCTTTAAAACATTAAATCAATGCTCATGGATATTGTTTTGAATAATTATTTGGGGCTTGTACGCCCATGGGTGCCGAAGTGTGGCATAAACACTTGTATTAAACGTTTCCGCTGTTTTAAATGATTATTTTACATTATGTTGTTTATGGATGTACTATTGTGAATGATATTCAAGACGCCTAGTATAGTATGGATGAGTTGGACTGCGGTTGACTATTCGTACTGTACGGCGGGTTGTTGACGTGTCCGGTAGGTCCGGGGCGTGACAAACACCGGATTACATTAACCCGTCTCCTGCCAGCTCCCGCCCTAAACGCGGCGTTGTCACTATGGTTATTCCTTTCTCAGAGGGAAGTGCTTCTGACCAACCTCCTCCAGATTTAGCGTCTTACTTTTTTGAGAATCGAATTGTTTATTTGGGCATGACTCTGGTTCCTTCCGTGACTGAATTAATAGTAGCAGAATTTCTATACCTTCAGCATGAAGATGCAGACTAACCGATTTTGAAGATGCAGGTTCCAACCTGCTCCTTTTTATCAACAATATTCTTGAAGGAACATAACATTATCTCTGCACGCAATTATAGAGGATATTTGTCAAAACCTATTGCACAAGTTATTTATCACAAGGAGTATACAAAAAATCCAATAAGCAAAAGTTCAATTGCAAAAAAAAACTAATTAGTAAAGGACTAACAATCTAACCCACTGAAACATCACACGAATTGAAATAAAAAATCATACAGAACACACTTGATCTACTTTAAAAGTGTGTACAAAAGCCTGAATCATCGGACAATAAGCGAGGAATAGGACCCCTAACCACCAAGCACGCAAGAAACCGGGGAATGATAAAGTGACAATCGACTGCGCCTCTCCGAAAGGTTCTATCAAAAAAAGACCGGAGTAGAATGAACTAAGCTTCACAGCCCCCTTAGGCCCTTACTGATGCGCTAGCCGAGCCTTTGCCCTGTTTGTTCACTTCAGCTTCCATCCAATATGCCACGCTACTACAAACAAGATGAAAAGTGGATTAATGTTTAATCCAAACATATAACCAACACAATCATACTTGGTTCATCAGAATCTCACTACAATTGAACCTAGATTCACAAATACAATGATGTTAAATATGAACCAAGATATTGATCTGCTAGGCTGCTAGCCATTCACTATGCATACGTTCGTACAGATTCGGTTGAAGCAATTACATCATATATTGATTTTAAACTTTCAATTGGAAAATGAACATGTGAATAAGTACAGACTACAGTATATCAGCTCCAAACAAAGCGAAAAGTGTGTCATACGAATTCAATTGCACCGAAATGAAAGTGGAAGACTTGAGAGGAAGAGGAAGAAGGAACCTGATCGATTATTAGTTGGACGGTTTGCCTTGCTAGATTCACGATGATGTTAAAATATGAACCGACATATTGATCTGCTAGCCATTCACTATACATACGTTCGTACAGATTCAATTGAAGCAATTCACCAGAGATTGATTCTAAACTTTCAATCGGAAAACGAACCTGTGAATAAGTACAGTATATCAGCTCCGAATAAAGCGATAAGTGTGTCATACGAATTCAATTGCACTGAAATGAAAGTGGAAGACTGGAGAGAAAGATGAAGAAGGATCTGATCGATCATTAGTACGAAGGTTTGAAATGAGTAGACATTAAACGAAAAAATGTAATATTAAAGCTCCAATTAAACGGCAAAGATTTTCTGGTTGAGACGGAAGCGGTTGAACGGCAAAGAAATTGCGAATTAGCCTGCTTTTAAATTTTGGCTTTGGGCGACGAGTTTGGGAGTTTATTGCCGATTCTCGTTCTAATGAGCAATGAAATATTAATATTTGTAGCCCAAGAGATTTGATGGGCGATAAAAATCAAATTAGTAGTGAAAGGTTTGACTTGTGCCACAAGATAACATATTTGTTGCCCATATATGATGCATAAGCAACGATTAAATTTTGTTTCACAAAACCCTATCCATTTGCATCGAAAAGTAATTTTGTCGTCTCTATAATACTTGTTTGTTGCACAATATAATTTTTGTTGTAGTGAAGGCACAAAATAAAGAGGTCTCGGTTCAGAGATTTCCCTTTGGAAGTAATTTTTATTTTTATGTACGTTTTCTTTTACTTCCTTTCCCATATTGTACTATTCCCTTTAATCAATAAAATCAAATTTTCTTTAAAAAAAATGTTTTCTGCTTTCATAAAAAAAATGTAATGTACGTAAACTAGACAGCATGCAGCAGCAGTCGGTGGGTATTTGGTTTTACCTTCCCATGTTTAAAAAATACTGATTGGACAGAAGTAGAAAACGTACGTTGTTTTCAGAAGCTTAAAACTGTACTCATCATCACCTAGCTAGCCGGCCAGTAGTTCCGATCCCCCGTTGATTGAGTGGCCACGTACGTACACTCATGGCGGCCAACTGCGACGCAGAAGCGGCGCCGCTTCTCCGGCACATTAACGGCCGCAATGGTGAGGGGAAAAAGCGGTGGCACCGGCATCTGTCGGGCAGCGGGGTGAGAAGCTTTGCCGGAGAGTTTGGAGTGGAATCCAAAAAGCTGTGGGAGATCGCCGGGCCGGCGATCTTCACCGCCCTGTGTCAGTACTCCCTGGGGGCACTCACCCAGACCTTTGCCGGCCAAGTGGGCGAACTTGAACTCGCCGCCTTCTCCGTCGAGAACTCCGTCGTTGCTGGTCTAGCTTATGGAGTCATGGTAAATACGAAGTATATGCTTTGTCTCATCTTCACTTTCCTTCAAATGTTATTGTCTCGTCTAATTAAACTTATTCAATTTGGGAGTCGTTTTAATGATATAAAATATATGGCTCATTGCCACATTATATTTGGTATGGTGTGTACAATTGTACCTAGCTCGTGGTATGATATGATATGACATTAATTATATTAGGGAGTGGCGTTCCTGTCAGGCCGGCCTAATAGGATGCGCCGTCCGGTCGAGCCCGTTTGAGGGTCTTCTCAGTGGAATATTTTGATGAAAATTTTTAAGCATGTTCTTCATCAAGTCTGGTTTATCCATACCAAATTTCAGTTAAAAATTCAATCGGGAAGGTACTCAAATAAATTATTTAAGAACACTGCGTAGTTAATATATATAAACAGCGCAGTATTTTTAAAAAACTCATTTGACTGCCTTCCTGATTGAATTTCTAGCTGAAATTTGGTATGAATAAATTATACTTGATGAAGAACATGCTTAAAAAATTTCATTGAAAATTGCACCAGGAAGACTCTAAAAAGGGCTTGGTTGGACGGCTGCCCCAGTCATGCCAGCATGACATGAAGTTTCATCTGACATTAGGAGCTTCTAAATAAGCAACGTTACATGAAAGTGATAGAATCTCAGTGAAGTGCCACACAATTCAGCATGTCATAACAAAACCTACGTGACCAATAAGCATGAGCACCGCAAAAGTTAATATGTTATCCTCTCTCCGTCCCATAAAACTTGACCTTTTTTGCGAAAGTTAAAACTTGATCATTTTGAATTTTCTTGATTATGGTCAAGTTTGACCAATGATATTTCTTAATGTGAAATGTTTTCAAAAATAAAAATTATATGAAAATGTTCTTTGTTAAAAATACTTTCATAAAAATATAAAAGTTATAAATTTCACACAAATATAATAACTAAAATCGTTGTTCAAACTTTTTTGGCATTGACCAATAAAAGTCAAATTAACCAAGTTTTATGTGATAGAGGGAGTAATATATATAAACAAAATAATAATAATAATAATAAATATTATTATAATAATAACAATAATAACAATTGCACTAGTCTCACAAATGATTATTAATGTTTGAATGTTAAAATAGATTTGCACTTTCTCAATTCAAGGAAACTTGTTCATGATGGTCGTCAAGTTTGACACATTATATTTTTTAATACGAAACGATTTAAAATATGAAAGTTATTTGAAAAAATCCATTTGTTAAAATATTTTCATAAAAATATACGGAGTAAAATTTATAAATTTGATTCAATTTTAATAACTAGAATCATTGAAGTTGTCCAAAATTTACTACCATTGACAAAACAATGTCCATTTGACCAAATTTTGTGAGATAAGGATAGTAAATTTTACATGTGCTTAAAATTTTCCTTTTCTTAATAGAAAACATTATCAATTTGTTTGAAGTCTAAGCAAAATTGGATTTTTAAACAATCAACACAACAATAAGAAGATATGATACAATACTCTCTGCTTTAAAATTTGAAGAAAGATTTGAATGTTTCAAGAAAAGGTAGATATGATTTTTAGAAATGAAGAACCTTTTATAATCAATTATAATAGCTTTAGTATATTATGATCACTTTTTTATTAATTAATGAAAATCATAAGAACAATTTCTCTAAAGAGTGTAACTTTACATAGGAATAAATTTAATAATATAAGAACATCAATTAATCAGTAGGACTTTTTCAGGTCTTTCTAAAAAAGATAGTTTTATAAATCACTCACTTTAAAAAGAAAATTTAATAAATAATCTCGAGTGATTTAAAGTTAATACTAGTACATATTAATATTCTTTTATGTCATTTCTAACTTCATTACTATTTATTTATTCATAATTCATTTGTTTGTTTAGCTACTTATTTACTATATTTACAAAGAAAAAGTACAAAAAATGGGACCCTTTAAAGGTAAGGCGGGGCCCTAAGCATGGTGCTTATGGACGTATGGTAACTCCCCCCAAAGCCGCCACTATGATAAGCTTAAAAAAGAGAGTTCCAAACGGACTCTAGATATATTTGTCATTCTCTCCCTTAAGTGAAACTTAAAACATGTTAACTTGTGCAGTAATTAAGAAAGTAAAATAGAGATTTACTTAAATATGAGTAAAAACTAAAAAAGAGCAACATTGTTTTCTTTCTAAAAATAAGGCTTGTTTACCCTGAATTGGGGATTTTTCATTTTTAACATATACAAATATGATAAAAAAAATATTGTTCATATTTTACTCTTATTTAGAGTAATTTGTTACAGAAAAAAATCATATACTCCGCATATGATGGATAATTTTTCATAAAAGTAGGGTATAATTCTAACCATATACGAGTATTTCTTAATGATATTTTAATACTTGTTACATCATTTTTGTATAGCGTTTTGTATAGCGTTTTGTATAGCGTTTTATTTTAGAGAGAGAGAGAGAGAAAGAGGAATGTTCAGGTCCGAACATCTCCCGTCCGAGCACCGTCCGAACATGGGCGTTTAGGGCACTTCCCTGTAGAATTTTTTGATGAAATTTTTTGAGTATGTTCCTCATCAAGTCTGTTTGTTCATACCAAATTTCATCTTGAAATTTGATCGGGAAGGCATTCAAATCAGTTTTTGAAGTTGATTGCGTTTTTATATGTACATTTTGACGCAGTCAACTTAACAAATGATTTGAATGCCTTCGCGATCGAATTTTGAGCTGAAATTTGGTATGGACAAACTAGACTTGATATGGAACATGCTCAAAAAAATTCATCAAAAAATTCCACCGGGAAGTACCCCAAATGACCATGTTCGGACGGCATTCGGACCGGGGACTGCTGGACATGCTCATTTCTCTCTCTCTCTCTCTATTATATATATATATAATTACTTTTATTTTTTATTTATGTCCTCCTACTTTCTTAGTTGTACCAATTTCAATTTTCATCTTCTTTCATTTTAATCTGCTATTTTATACCTTTTCTATATCACTTCATAAAAACTTACGGAGGAAAGGAAAAGTTACCTAGTAAAAATATAAGGAGTAAACATTTATTTTGCATAAATAAGTATCATAATAACCCGCTCTTACTAACCCAAGCCATGCATGCATATAGTATCCTAAGAAAATGTCACATACTGGCAATTTGTTTTAAGGAATACAATTACATTTGGAAAAAGAATTCAAAATAATGGAAAGATATATGCATCGCAGCTAGGAATGGGAAGTGCATTGGAGACATTGTGCGGGCAAGCATATGGGGCGGGGCAAATGAGGATGTTGGGCGTCTACATGCAAAGGTCATGGGTCATACTATTGACCACTGCATGTTTTTTGGTTCCTATTTATGTTTTCGCTCCTCCCATTCTTCACCTCATTGGGCAGACCCGACGAATCTCTAAAGCCGCCGGTTTGTTCTCTTCCCTCTCTTTCCTTTTTTGGTAAAAGGACTAAACAAAAAGTCATTCACATGCTTAGTCTTTCAGAATATATACCAAGCATGACAATCTATTCATTACAAAGCACTTTAGTATGACGAATGATGAAGATTTATTCATCTAATAATCTAATTAAAACATTAGAGAATCTTAGCTAGATCATTCATCACGCCAATGTGCTCCGCTTTGGTGATCTCCAGTGTAGCCATCACAACGGTGGCACATCTGTTACTCATCAATGTTGTGGTTGCCATCTTCATAACATTATTGACATGTTATACCACCAGGATCCAAAACATGGCATTTCAAGACAAAACATATGGCATTTCATGACATTAATATATACAAAAACATGGCATTAAAAGTAATATTATTAAAGTTATGCCATAAGAATGACATTATTTGCCCAACGAGTAAACAAAATGGGACTATATAAAGTCATAAATGCCATTAAGTTCAAAATAATAATGGTTGACTGAAAATGATATTATGTCACTTTTATGATTTTGAATGATTAAAAAAACTAGTTTTATGTTTAAAAAATAAATAAATCAGAATTAATAGAACAAACCACAAAAATTCCAAACACCATAGCTCAGACCTCTCATTTATATTTTCATATCCGATTTCCATATTTAAAATATATGTAATTCTATAATTTATAATCTGGAAATTTAAAATATACTCGTATGTAATTCTATAATTTAGAATCTGAAAAGTTAAACAAATTAATCAAGTGATGGAGTAATTAAAAAAAAACAAAAAAAAAACAGAGCACAAGGAAAGGTCAGAGGAGAAGAAACGGAGGATAAAGAAAAAGATGAAGAGGGGAAGATAAAGAAGTAAAAGATGAATCTATTACCTCATATCATTCCGGCGATTGGAAATCGGCAAAGAAGGCGGTGACGCTATAGGCTAGTAGAAGAGGCGAATGAGTTGGCAGAAGAGATAGAAGAAATGGACGATGGAGATGGAGGAAGGACAAATCGACGGAGGTAGAGGAAGGCCGGACAGGGCGACGGAGGCCGCGGAGCAAGGACCGGGCGGCGGAGGAGATCTGGAGGGTTGGCTTAGGAAGAAACGACCAAGTCTTACTAAAAGCTCCAGCTTGATTCAATTTAGGGCAGCAGGTTTCAATTTACGGAGTACTCCGTGTATATAATAAGAAGGGTATTTTAGTCCATAGAATCCTATTTAGGGAATAAAAATTATACACTCCTATTTAAGAACTTTAAGTATATTTTAGTCCTATTTAGGGCAATTACTTATTAAATTAAGATAATAACCACAATAGTTACTTCAGTTACTAGTACGTCCACTCTTGTAACTTACTATCTTTCTGAATATGTTTAGATTTTTCACATTACTCAAATGTAAATATAAAAACTCACACATTCTTCATAGAGTCGTGATTATGCTGAAATAAGGTTTTTAGAATAAATTATGTTCTAATATTCTATAGGCGTAATATAAGTATCAACGAGTAATTAATTGGTCTAAATCTGAATATAAATGAAGTATTAATTATGCAATAATTTGTAAGATTGATAAAAGATATAAACTTTTACTTTTTACTAAGAGATAAAAACCTTCAAATGTAGTACGTGCGACTTCACTTGCATCCCAAATTAATGGTGACACTATGTTTAGACCTAGCTTGTAGATTAAGAAAATGATGCTCCCTCTGTCCCATTGGACTTTGTCAACTTTCTCTTTTTGATTGTTCTAAAAAACTTTGCCACTTTCATATTATAGCAATTAATTTGTGGTTCTGCTCAATCCTCTCTCTCCTATGCATAAACTTCAACCACACAATTTTTACTTTTCTTATTTCTCACCTACTTTGAACTTGGCAAAGTCCACCGAGACGGAGGTAGTACTACATACGTAGTACAAAATAGTAAAATCCTAAATTATCTTTTATATTCAAAAGTTAAGTACAAATGGAATTGTAGATTTGTAGTAAAAAGAATGATAAAATATACATGCATGGGGCTAGGTACGCAGTATATAGGGTCATTTGTACAAAAGGAGACGTAACGTTCATCTAGGGATAGTCCAAAAAAGAAAATATGCATGCTAATACTCCATATCGTTTTAGGATAAGGTTGTGAAATAATGACTGTCTGTAACATAAAGTAATAATGTCGCAGGAAAATTTTCACTATGGATGATTCCACAGTTATTTGCATATGCCATAAACTTCCCAATACAGAAATTCTTGCAAGCACAGAAGAAAGTGCTTGTAATAGCGTGGATATCTGCAGGCGTGCTATTGACGCATGCCCTCTTTGCCTGGTTACTTATGCTAAAACTGAAATGGGGACTAGTGGGGGCAGCCGTCGCGCTCAACTCTTCATGGTGGCTCATAGTTATCTTTCAGCTGATTTACATTTTCGTCTCCAAGTCAGATGGTGCTTGGGATGGGTTCTCATGGCTAGCTTTTCAAGACTTGTTTTACTTTGTCAAGCTTTCTTTGGCGTCTGCCGTCATGCTATGGTAATTGTTAGTCTTGCTTCGAAAATTGAAGAAAGAATGATGAGTAAATAGTTGTTCAATTGGATTGAACAAGATTAACGGGTCAAGTTTAATACTTTATGATCACACTCAATCACCTTGATGACCCCATTTTGAATTCTATATGTATTTGAACTTCACACACACACATAAACAGAGTAAAGTGGTTAGGAGACTCACTTTGATATTGGTGAGTATCACTTCAACATTTTAATATTGTCCACCACATGAGTAAAATGTAGGACGAATTATTAAACAGGACAAACATTTTGCTAAATAGGTGTATGAATCCTACTTCCTCCGTCCCTCACTCCCTCTAACTTTGCCCCGTTTGACTTTTTTCGTCCGTGCCATTAAGTTTGTCTCATACCATATTTTGTAGGGAAAAGTGTCAAATAGGCCCCCCTCTACTAATACGAAAAAGTCAATTAAGCCCCCGAACTAAAAAAACATCCAATTAAGCCCACGAACTAAATATAACGAGGCAAAACAGTCCTTTTAGCAAGATATTAATCGTTCCCAGTTAAGTTGCATGTGTGGCAAATGATGTGACATGCTTTTACATTTTCTTTTTCTCTTCCTTTCCTTTTTTCCTTATCTCTTTTTACCGCTTAATTACCTGCTAAAAGGACTGTTTTGCCTTGTTTTTTATAGTTCGTGGGCTTAATTGAGTGTTTTTTGAGTTCAGGTCCTATTTGACAGTTTTCCCTATTTTGTAATATTTTAGTGGTTACAATTCATTCTAACTTTATTCACACTTTATCAATTCAATACCAACCACACAATTCTACTTTTCCTTAAAAATCACAGCACACCCCTTTGTCCCAATCTTAAGGGGACGAAAGTAGTATTTTGGGAAGAAATGATATGTGCTCCTGAATTGAGAAAATTTGTTATGTCTTCTCTTATTACTTTGGTCTTTATTATAAACTAATAATATTTGTTACGCTCACACGACGACCTCGAAAATATGTTGGAATTGAATCTTGATCATGAGATATAATTCATTCATGAAATATCTTGAATTGCAGTTTGGAGTTTTGGTACTTGATGGTAATAATTGTGATAGCAGGTCGTTTGGAGAATCCTTTAGTCCCCGTTGATGCACTTTCTATCTGGTAATTTTGTTCAAAGCGTATATCCTTTAAATTTATACATGAATGGCCATATTACTTAAATATTTATCTGCCAACATCTTTTTTTCTCAATATTTGTAGCATGAACTTACAAGGATGGGACGCGATGATTTCTATAGGATTCAATGCAGCCATAAGGTGAATCTCTTAGGCATATTATACATCAAACAATAAAACAACATATATATCATAAACATGATGATTTAAATTGTGTTTTTGTGAAATTTGTTGATTTAAATATTGCTAACTTTTTAATGGTTGGTGCAGCGTGAGAGTATCGAACGAACTTGGAGCTGGAAATTCAAGAATAGCAAAATTTTCCGTATTAGTGGTTTCTATTACATCAGTGTGTATTGGAATTGTTTGTATGGGAGTTGTGTTTGGCACAAGAAATCTCTTCCCACTCATTTTCACCAATAGTGATGCAATAGCCAAGGAAACCACGAAATTAGCAATTTTGTTGGGGTGGACATGTCTACTTAACAGCCTCCAGCCTGTCTTATCTGGTAAAATTACAAAAGCAACCACAAAATAAGTTTACAAAAGCGATTGAATTTTGATTATCACCATATTCAAGGACTTGAAATTTCATCATAAGTGTTGAAACTTAAACTCATGTGCGATGTCAAAACTCAACCTCAATTTGATCTATTTGACATTCAAATTAGAGATGTCTTGAATTTGATCGCTCACTGCTTGCAGAATTATAGGGGTCTCACTCCTCGATCAGCGAGTAGAGGGGCCGATGTTGCGACGCGCCTAAGGTTTACTCCTAAAAGTTATCAACATACTCGAAGATTTGAGATTTGATCATAAAATTTGAATCATATGCTTTTGTATGAAGTCGAAGTTTATTAACCTCAAATGAGCAATTCAATCCGTTTGAAACTCAAACAATTAACCCATTACACAAACAACATTTGAAAGAATATAAATACACATACAACCAATGTTTAATATATTTAATATTGGACCAAATTGGATATTAATACATTGGTGTTTTGGGAATGAACTAAAGTCTTAAGATTCAACACCTTTTCAGGAGTTGCTGTAGGAGCAGGATGGCAATATATTGTAGCATATGTGAACATCGCATGCTATTACATTGTAGGGTTGCCTGCGGGAATACTCTTGGGCTTTACATTTGATTTTGGGGTCATGGTACATAATTTTCAATCTTATTATTCTTATTGATTCTTAGGGTTGTATTGAAAAATATTCCAATTACTCCTCTTATACAATTTGAGTTTATATATTTCATTTACCTGTTGATTTAATTTGCAGGGAATCTGGGGTGGGATGATAGGAGGAATATGTCTACAGACTCTCATCCTCATAGTGATAGTCTCAATCACCGATTGGAATAAAGAGGTATATGTGTATTCCCGCAACCTCTACTTTTCAACTAAATAAATGCAATACGTGCACAAGAAAATTTAAAATAGGATTAGAGTATAACACTTTTTTAAATATGGTCATTATTTTATTAGGATTAAATAAGTCATATTTGAGAATAAAATATTATCAGTTTAATTTGTGAATTTGCCAATGTTTTAATCTTATATATGCAATGATTTTAATTCCATGTATTTGTATACAGGTATACAACTTGTCTTATTCGTCTCATACCGGCAGTGTAAAATATTAAAGCAATATGCGTAGTACGAAGTATAAGATATCCGCAACATCTCATATCAACTTTTAAGATGAAAAAACTAGCTATATAGTATAAATTAAAGTTAATCATAGGTGTGACTTAAATGTTTATCTGGCACAAATGGTCCAGTCTATTTAGAGTATATTGACCTATTTTATTCTCATTTCAAGTTGCTGTCATGTCTGGTTTGAACTTTGAGGCACGTTAAAGTATTGAGGTTGTACAATAAAAATATCTGACATATAAATCTTGAATACTTTTTTAATAAGGACACAATTAATCCCAATCATATACATAATAAATTGCTGCTATCGCCACATTCTGATTGAAACATGAAAAAATTACACTAGTAGAAAAGACAAGTTGAACAATGTTGCTGCTATATGATTATATGACATATAAAGGATGAATAAAAATGGAGAAATTATAATGCCACATACATTCCCAAATATATTATAGAACAAATTTAGCGTTAATTTATCACAATATGACAGAGTCAGGTAATATAACTTGTTTCACAATTTCTCCGTTGTACAATGAAGTTATGACTTCATCGTTGTTTAATTTGTAAAGGTCTTTCATTTGTAAAGGTCTTTTACCCATATCATGTAGCATTGTGCTAGTTAAATAATTATTTATGTTGTGGTGCTCTTTTGATTGGTTTGATCTCATTCTTTTTAAAAATAACCTGGTGAACTCATTATTTATATTATTGTTATCTAAATTTGTGTGCAGGCCAATATGGCAGAAGCTCGAGTTAAACGTTGGGCAGAGCCAATTGCAAGTATTTAAAAGTGCCATGAAAATGATAGACCATATTGCATTAATGTGACAATTAATCTTTGATTTGTTGCTATGATTTTTTTGAATTGACTTAAATCCTGGACATTAACTTCACCAAACCCTAGATCGAGATGGGACGGTTGTTCCGGTTTTATTTAATTAAATGTTAAAAATGTTGAAGTCAAGCAATAATGTCGATTTTACATCAGATTAAAACATAATGAAGATATTATGGACAATTTGTGTCACATAAATGTGGTCGGATATATGTATATATATATACTTCCTCTGTTCTTAAATAAATGCAACAGTCAACATTTCACATTTGCCGAGGCACAACTTTGACCATTAATATATATGATTCCCGATTAGTAAAAAAAATTGTAAAAAATAGATTTTGAAAATTTATAATGAGAAAAATTTAACAATATTTTTTTCAAAAATATATATTATTACATTAATAAATAAAACATAGTCAAAGTAGAACATGTGAATAGTGCAAAAAGTCCAACGTTGCATTTAAAAGAGAACAGAGGTAGTATATATATATTACATATGATAGAATATTTTAGAGCAAATTGAATTTTTATGATTTGAGACAAAGATAATGAGGTGAAAAATTGAAAAGATATTAATAAAAGAGAAGCAATGAAGCAAATGGAATTAAATGAAATCGAGATAGTTGTCCAACATATGTGATGGTGAAACTTGCAACGATATTGTCTCATAATCTCTAATCTCATATTTATTGTTTACAAAATGATCGAAAAGATAAACTAATGTAAGACTATGCTAATTTAAAGGGAAAGTGGATGAATGAAGTGATAAATGAGTTTTGGAATTATAGTATATTTCATGTGTCTCGTGTCACTTGCCATAGCTAGTTCTATCACCACACATTATGAAAGGAATTCAAATAAGTGAGAGTGATCTAAGTGAATCACATCCCACGCTTAAAACCATTCTCATGTGTGAAGTCTTGAATTCAAGTCATTAAGGAGGTAAATTTAGAAGAATTTATCAAATAATGATCTTCTAGCCATATGAATAGCTTGAATAGTTGTGTAATTGGTACGTCATCTCGGCGGTGTGAGAGTCTTGCCGGTGGGAATATGAAGGTGGTTGATAAATCGGTGACGGTTTTCCAATAACAGTAAAGAAAACCTAAGAACTGATAAAGTCAATCACTTAAGAGGTGTGGTGTATAGATGGATATTTGAAAACTAGCGGCCAAAGTCATATGTGCAATACTTAATACACATATGAATCTCATGTTATTTCTACCAGCTAATAAGCTAGTATTTATTATGCATCATGTTGGTCAAAGACTATTTTTAAAACTCAATACATTGGGACTACCTAACAATAATAAACCATAAAGATTATTAAAAGCGGACCGTGCATAATTGGAATTATTAAATTCAATTTTCCCTATATAAAATTTAGATGGTGAAAAAGTACATAAAATTTAAATCTTTCCAAAACTTAAGAAGTTTAAAAGTTATACATCCCAAAACTCAATTCATTTTAAAACTTCACTAAAAAAAATTAAAGAAATGAAAGTCATAAATAAAGATTAATGATAAATTCAAAAATTAAAATTAAAGTATAATGTCAAATAAAAAAAATTGCATGGTACATTTTAGTCTTAGATTTACATCTCATATAAAAACTAATTTTGAAAATTTATATAGAGATTTTCTACAGTATGTTAAAAAATATAGTAGATGGCTTGGATCAGTAAAGGATGAACAATTAGAGTTGAGATTATTTATAAACTACACTTTACTTCGATTTAAAAGTAACATGCCGTAATAGGTTATAACAGGCCGTAATAGGTTATAACACTTATAACAGGTCGTGTGTTATTATTGAAGGAGGTCCATGTAGTTTGAATTATTGAGAGATAATGTAACAAATTTATTATTATGATTATTACGAACGAATCGGTATTGGTTACGATCATTGTTCTAAAAATCATTGTAGGCGCTCGACTAGTCCCCGCCCAGGCGATAGGCGGTGGCCAGGCACCCTGATTCTAGTCTAGACGCTCCGACTATTTGGTTTGACGCTTAGATGAACTAGTCGGCCGCCTAGAGTGCCTAGCTGCCCGCCAAGAGCGTTAATCGGTCCTCTAGAGCGTCTAGATTCACGCTCATTTTTTTTAATTTTTTCTAAGAGATATATGTACTATTAACTTTAATCACAGATATGAAGGAAACTACTAGTAGATTAAGATAAAAACCATACATACACATATATACTCTTAAATGTTATTACGAAGTATTATTTAATATTTATTACATAAAAAAGTTAAGTGATTAGTTAGAATATTTTATTTAATGTGATAATTGTATCGATCATGCAAGTTAATGTGTAATGTGTGTGTATATTTTTTTATACACACACAAACACAATATTACTCATGATATTTATACAAAAATATTGATAGAAATATAGTTTTTATTTCTCTGACTAGTCCGTGCCTAGGCATTGGACTGGCGTCTAGCGCCATTTAGAACATGGGTTATGATAATGATCAAATTTTGTTCTCAATACACTGTGCGCCTAATTTTTAATGTTCTTAGTTTATGTGTATTTAAGTCTGTTTGGATGTAGGAAACCTAAAGACTGGAAGTACAATAAGAAAAGGAAAAAGGAACGATTATTGGGTGAATTTTAAATATGAAAAATTGCCTAGTTTCTGTTTTGTGTGTGGAGTTAGGTCATGCAGATAAGTTATGTTCATTGGCGTACAAGAAAGGGGATAAGAATCTAGAGAAATCTTTCAGATCATGGCTTAGAGAGGGAGGAGGGAAACATCGGCCCATGGTTTCTAATAAATGGCTCTTCCGAGAGGGGTCTTCATCGAATGGCATAGCCAGGGCACAAGCAGGACAGGGGAGTAAGAGCAGGAGAAAGAGGCATAGAATAGTGACAAAATGGCTCTAGATAAGGCAAAAAATAGGGAAGAGGCGGGTGTTGGCTACCAGGCCCGCCGGAGTCTGTGAGAGTTTATCCCTCCCGAGAGAGCAAGCTCGTGCTTCTCGTGATATGGGGGAAGCAGCTTTACTGTACTTGCTATGTTTTTCTTATCGTTTTTTACTTTGGTTAGGATGTTATTTCGGTTGTGTTTTTGTTTTTCTTTCTAGTGAGACTTTTGAGTTTAGGTTGAGTGATGGAAAGTTTGTTTTGACCGCTTTTGGCTCAGTTATGCCCATTATATGATCAACGAGTTATATTGCTTTCAGGGAGATGATTGACTATGAATTTGAATAAGTGTTGGCGGTTGAGAATGGACTTTGTATTTTTTTTTGGAACAAGGCGGCTTAAATTCATATCAAAGCATTCAACAAGGGAACAAGAAGATAAAAGGACCCCCTCCAACCACCGACCCTCGAACCATACTTAGAGCCAATCACCCTAGACAAAGCAATATGGCTCGCTGACTCTGTAATGGGTCTAAATGAGTCTAACGTGGGATAAAATAGTGGGATCCCAGCTGCAACCTTTCATAGCTGACAAACAAGCAACCTCCAGCCTTTGCTGTCTTGGAACAGCTTTAGGTCTCTCGGCGAGTCTAGTGGTCTCGACCCGCCCCCTCGCCGTCTTTTGACAAATCCAAAGCCATATTATCCCCTCCACCTTCCACAACCTGCTCTTCCTCCCACATCCTTCTTCGTTTCTGCAAATCCGATGGCCTCATCTCCGACGCCTGAATTGCTTTGTTTCTTCCCTTGATGGTTCAGAGAACTTCCGCTTGAGTCTCCCGACACGAGTCATTTGTTAGCCTTCATCTTTTGAGTTATCCCACCCCTAGCACGGAGACTAACCCCAAAAGGTTTAGCCAACAATTTGTTCTCACACTCGTAAGCCAAAGGGCAAAACCTGTCAGCATGGCCAATGATACCACAAGAAAAACAAAAACTTGGCAGTTTTTCATATTTAAAGTCCACTCTATGCCGGGGTTCCCTCCCTTTCCTCAGCGTCGTACCCACTTTCAAAGCTTTACCGACATCCATACAAACCCTAATTCTCATGTAAGAATTCCAACGTTCCTCAAACTGACTTTCGTCAAAACTGATAAATTTACCAATGAAATTCACAACTCTCCTAGCAACTCCTAAATTCATAAAATCATAAGGTACATTATGTACATGCATCCAAAATTCAATGTCATTCAGGGGAACCCTAAGAGGGACAACCCCCCAATTTTAGTGCCCTCAAAACCAGCAAATTTTGTTCATATACACCACCTAGCACTCGTTCCATATCAATAATATGATAAAAAGTGAACAAGTACCTTTTCTCGCCTATCTCTTTGATAGATGTTCCTTTTCCGGGGCGCCAGATAGACGCCATGAGATCCCTGAGCACTATAAAACCAGTGCCAACAACCGGAAAGAAGTTGTTGCGGTTCGAAGCCTCGCTCTCGCCATCAATCTCCTCTTCCAAGATAAGTTCTTCCTCATCGCCACCAATCACCATGTTATCGCATTTGTTAACCATCTCCACCATGTTTGCCATGATTGCTCGGCGGTCCTCCAAAGCTCGAGTTGAAACCCTGCTTCGATCAGAAGTGTTGCCTGCTTGCCTTGCATACGTCTGCCCACCCGACAAATTCCCCCAGCGCGAGTAACCCCCAACCTTCGTCGGTCAAAACTGCGGCGCACTAGTGTCGCACCGAGAGAAAAACCCTACACTCGACTACTCGAGGGAGGCGGCCGCTTTCTTTTTTTTAATTCCGACTTTTTGTCTTCTTATTACTCCCTCCGTCCCTAATAACTTTGCCAAGTTTGACTGGCACGTGGATTAATAAAGTAAAAACTGTGTGGTTGAGGTTAATGTGACATCCAAAAAAGGAAAGTGGCAAAGTGGGAAAGTGGCAAAGTTAATGGGACATCCACAAAAAGGAAAGTTGGCAAAGTTATAAGGGATGGAGGGAGTACTTGCCAGAATTTTAATATTTCCAAAAAAAAGTTCTTCAATTATGTGGTGTACAAATTAACAAGAGGGGGATCTATAGTTCGGCCCAAATACACCAAAGATCAGAAATTTAAACACAACTCAGAGGCAGTTACGGCCCACAGAGAGATAATCCAAAAGAAAAAATTAATGATAATGTAACAGTACTCGTAATAATTTATTACTCCGTAATATCCATCTTCCCTCCCTAAAAATCTTTTAAATCTCCCCCCTCCGTTCAAATTCTTTTCACCTCTTCATTTTCTTCCCCAAACACTCTGACCCATTAATTACTTTCTTCCTCTGATAATCCGCATTTATTAAATATTCCTAACATTCCTTCTTTCTTTTTTGTGGTGAAATTGGATTTGGGATGACAATTCCCAATTTCCCACCAATCAAAAAAGGTTGAGACATCTTAAATTATATTTATATTATTTTTAGAAGCGTGATGGCTCATTCTGAGTCCATCATGCCGATCGACGGAACCGGCGACGATATCCACGCCGGCGGCAGATCTCCGACGAAGATGACGATGTCGCCGTGGAACCCCCCGTCGCCATTCGCCCGTTCCCCCTGGTCCAGAAACTCCCCTCACAGCCACCCGCAGAGCAGCCTCGTCGGGTCTATGGTCCGGGAAGAAGGCCACATCTATTCGCTGGCGGTTCAGGATAAGATCCTCTTCACCGGGTCGGACAGCAAGAACATTCGGGTCTGGAAGGACATGAAGGAATTTGCGGCGTTCAAATCCAACAGCGGCCTCGTGAAGGCGATCATCATATCCGGGGACCGGATCTTCACGGGCCACCAGGACGGGAAGGTCCGGGTCTGGAAGGTGAGCGAGAAGACCCGGGACGTTTACAAACGGGTCGGGACAATGCCCGCATTTTTCGACATTTTCAAAGCTTCGTTCCAGAGGAGCCCCGTTTGGATAAAGCATACGGACGCGATTTCCAGCCTGAGCATGGACGGAGAAGAGGGGCTGTTATACTCTGCTTCGTGGGACGGGACGTTTAAGGTGTGGCGGATCGAGAGCTTGAAATGTCTGGAATCCGTCTACGCCCACGATGATTCCGTGAACTCTGTCGTCGCCGCCGCGGACGGCGTGGTGTACACCGGCTCCGCCGATGGCCGGGTAAAAGTTTGGAAGAGGGAAACCGCCGGCAAGGCCGTCAAACACGTTTATCTCCAAACCTTGTTAGCCCAGGTATTAAATGCATCTGCGAACATAATGTGATAGCTTTAATTTCATACGGATCATTCTCATATTTTTAATTTCAAACTGTCTATTCCATCGTGTTAAAAACATGAAAACAACGGAACGACTTTTGTAATTTCAACAACTTTTTCATACTCTTGTTCGGTTCATAAAATTGGACTAAAGTTGACTCACACTTAAAAGAAAAAAGAAAAAAATGTGTAATTTAGATTGTGGATAGGAGAAAGAAAAAACTTTAGCTACCCATTTGTTACTTTAAATGGAAATGACAGAATTTTTGGGACAATAAAAAGAAAATTTAGCCAAGTTTTATAGGACGGAAGTAGTATAAAAAAAATAAAGGTTTTGTAAAGAAATGCCAAAGTGAGTCTATAAAATCATATTTTTATATTTTTTGATATTTATTAATTACAAAACCAATTAAGTGTAGGGAGACATGATAAAATTTAGGAAATTGCTATTTATACACATCAGGTTGTACACGCCATTTTTTGTCTGTACACGGACAATAGTTTTTTGTTTTGTAAGAAGATTTATGTGTCAAATTTTAGTCGGAGACACAAAAAAATTCTTTCATTATGACACATAAATCTCTTTACGTAACAATAAAACATTGTTAATTTGTACAAATATAGTTGTAAAAACTATACGGAGTACATCGTATGACTATAAGTCTAATTTTATACTAATAATACTAGTATACTACGTACACACGTAGTAAATAAATAAATTTCGTATCAATCCCGTTAATTTCAATTAGTTTGGCACATTCCTATATACTAGCCTACTAGGTCTATACATACTCAGCTATAAATATAATGTTTATTTCTTTTCAAGTAGACAAAATATCAATTTTGGAATTAATACTATCTCGATCTCCTCTAAAATCCCAAATTCATAATTCTGAATTTTTTAATCTCTTATCCAACTATATTAATTAGACAGTATGTTAGGGACAGAAAGAGTACCTTACGTGTCCCAAGTTAATTTTCATACTTCGTATTAATTAGCTATGTTTTCGTACTTGCATCATTGTCATTCTGGAGATTCAATGCATACTTTGTAGCAGTTTTCAAATTTGCATTTATTAGTTTTACATCTTAAATGTTGATTTGTTTTTAAAATGCTATGTACGGAGTATTTCTTAAAACAATTACGTAGTATGTGTTTTTTATAAAGCATGCATGAACAAAACTAGAAACAATGAAATATATCTTAAGATAAGTATAACGATACATTTTCTTCCTATGTGAACATTCATATGTGTGATGCTTTATTGGACATTAAACTGTGAGACAAATTTTTAACATCGAAATAATTAATGTTAGATATGAACGTACAAAAAAATTACGAACAAAAGGTATATTTTGCCTTTTAAGTAAAGACAACGTGCAGTGAGAAACTGAAGTATATTGAACCCCTTATCTGTCTCTCAACTTTCATTTTGAACCCGTTTGGTAACACTAAAATTGGCTGTATTGGTTGATTCTGTTGAAACTTATGAATTTCTGACTGAAGTGGTTGTATGGGCTGATTCTGATGATTCATGAAAAAAAATATTTTCATTTAAAATATTTTTATTAATAAATAAAATAAAAAATTATATGAAAAAATAGCTAAAATGATCCTCTACAGTAACTTCAGCCAACACAGTCAGAAAAGTAACTACAACCTTACTTTTTCTGCTTATTACACAATTCAGCGCGCGAAATAAAAAATCACGTGTTTGGTGAAAAAGCTGGCTGATAAGCCTGATAAGCCGAAAAATGTGGTCACCAAACGAGCTCTTTACCTTGTCTTATTTGAGTTTTTAAACCCCATTTTCCTTTTAAACCCCATTTTCACATATATTCACATCTTAAAAACAATTTTATTTTTCAGTCATTTTATTAGTAATTATGTCAAACCAAAACAAAATACATAAATGGACCAGAGGTAATACGTGCAAACAAATTTTAGTTTTTTTTTGAAATAGACACAGAACCAATTTAACGTGTTTGGTGATATAGTTCCAATTTTCTTCTTCAAAAATTAAGTAAAGAAGAATCGAGCCCGTTATCAGGTTCGCATAGTAGAATTAGATATTTAAAATGTAAAATAGGAAGAGAAATCATCTCATCAGGCCGGCCTGACAGGCTGCCCCGTCCGGCCGAGCCCGTTTGGGCACCTTCCCGGTGGAATTTTTTGATGAAATTTTTTGAGCATGTTCCTCATCAAGTCTAGTTTGTCCATACCAAATTTCAGCTCAAAATTCGATCGGGAAGGTCGTCAAATGATTTTTGCAAGTTAACTGGTCCGGAAGTTATGAGCGAAAACAGTCGCGGTTTTAAGTCTATCTGGATCTCTTTAATTTGGCTGCTATTTCTCATTTTCTCTATTTGTATTTTAGGCCTTGATTGGTACTCTGTTTTTTATTGTAATAAAATTTGGTAGATGTTCCCCGACATCTACCCCACCGATTTTGGTGGTTTTTTCCGGAACAAAAAAAAGTTATGAGCAAAAAGAGTTGTTGCCAATCAGTCGTCAACTAGCCGTTGCCATCTCCGGCATCTATTTCACCGGACTGACGCCATTAAACCCCAAAGCGAGATTGGTAAAACACAGAAGTTCAACTTTAAAGATAAGACATTGGCAAATCCTAAAATCTAGAGAAAGTTCTCTTAAAATGCCAATAAAATTCACAAATTAAATAAGATCAGCATATCACTGTTTTCTTTTTAAAATAGGATTCATTCACTTTTATTTTGTGAAATTTTGTACTTCGTATTTCTTTGATCTTGCAATAGAATTAAATAAGTTTTACGGAGTAGTTTTGAAGTAAAACATAGGGAGTATTCGCTTCGTCCCAAAATTGAGTTGTAAAATTGATTTTTCTGATTATTCATTTTATTCGGTTAATTAGGATGAGACAATTAACGTACGTGCATATGACTAACCATCCATAGGAGTTTGCTGTAACGGCATTGGCGGTGAACAAGGACGGAACAGTTCTATACGGCGGCTCATCCGATGGGCTCGTTAACTTCTGGGAACGCGAGAAGCGGTTGTGCCACGGCGGGGTCCTCAAAGGCCACAAGCTGGCGGTGCTCTGCCTTGTTGCGGCGGGCCGAAATATGGTCTTCAGCGGTTCAGCGGATAAGACGATTTGCGTGTGGAGGCGGGACGGCCCGGTTCACATGTGCCTCTCGGTCTTGGCCGGTCACAGTGGACCGGTTAAGTGTCTGGCGGTCGAGGAGGACAAGGAGTCGAGTGGGAAATGGGTGGTGTATAGTGGAAGCTTGGACAAGTCTGTCAAGGTTTGGCGCGTTTCTGAATCAGCCCCGGATTTGCATCACATGTATGGTCGAGTTGACTAAAATCTGGTTTTGGAAATATTGACCAGCACCGGTTCGACTCCTATTGTCATTGTCTATTACTAAAAGGAAATTAATGTTGTAAAAATCTTCTGTGATAGATTAATAGACCTGTCTCGCATGCATGTATACTTCAAGGCTACTTCGATCGTGTAAGTGTGTAACCAAATCCTTATATATACAAGGCCACACATTTTCAATGAAAAAAATATGACGGGTTTTCCTTAAATATGAATAAATTCAAACAAATTTTTAAAAATTGACCACTTTTACATACGTAAACAAGCTCATATAATTTGAAAACGTGATGTAGTTATAAATTTTGCATGTCACAATTAGTTTTTTATGTCACTAATAAAATATGTGAATGTCAGATTTTCATGTCACTTACGAATGACATTGTTGTCGTGAAACAATTCATTGTGACTATCGGAAAATTTTCAAATGATGTTTTCCGACGATTTAAAAAAAAATACAAACAAAAAAATCATCAAAAAATTTCAACCACTTTTCCGGTGGCGGGTCAAGCTGTGATTGGGCAGGTGTGGAGGGAGCTGGGTCTAGGGCAGAGATTTGATATAAATTACAATTAAAAAATGAATTATAAAAATTAGAAACATTTTATGAAAAAATGAAAAATAGACGTTTTTTATGTATTTTTCAAAGTTATAAGCAATATTTGTGTCTTTGTCTAAAAAGAGATACTCCGTAAAAAGAATTGCTTTTTCGTATGCTTAAGAAATTGATATTAAATTTGTAGACTTAGAGCCCGTTTGGTAACACTGAAATTGGCTTAATTGATTGATTGTGTTGAAATTTATGAGGTTTTAGCTGAAATAATTGCATCGGCTGATTGTGCTGATTTATGAAAAAATACGAAGTATTTAAAATACGTATAGTAGTATTTTTTATTTATAAAATAAATAAAAAATTATATGAAAAAATATCTAAACATGATCCTCTACAATAACTTCAGCCAATACAGTCAGAAAAGTAACTTCAACTTTAGTTTTTCTTATTATTGCACAATTCAACACACGAAATCAAAAGTTACATGTTTAGTGAAAAAACTGGCTGATAAGCTTGATAAGCCGAAAAAACACGATCACCAAACGGGCTTTTAGTGGATCGTTGCGTTTGTAACATTTTAGGATGGTAAAAATGCCTCAATTGGCAGACATTTTACACAAAATTAGTAATGGTATTGGTCTGGGTAACGAATTTAGTTTATTCTTATTTGTAACACTTTGGGATTCACCAAAATGGGCAGGTTACAAAAATTAAAATTGACTTGACTAGGCAAGTAATGTTTAACTAATACTCGTACGTTTCTATTTTTTGTTATAGGGAAAACTGTCAAATAGGTTCTCAAACTTTGATTAAAAAAAGGCAAATAAGTTCTTATATATGAAGCTCTGTCCGGCCATCGCGATTTGGGGCGTTTCTCGGTGGAATTTTTTGATGAATTTTTTTGAGCATCTTATTCATCAAGTCTAGTTTACGCATACCAAATTTCAGCTAAAACTTCAATCGGGAACGCATTCAAATTAATTCTTGAAGATAACTGCTCATTTAACTGCACAGTTATCTTCAAGAATTAATTTGAATGTGTTCCCGATTGAAGTTTTAGCTGAAATTTGGTATGCGTAAACTAGACTTGATGAATAAGATGCTCAAAAATTTTAATCAAAAAAATTGACTTTTTTGACTTTTTTTATGAAAGTTCGAGAACCTATTTGATAGTTTTCCCTTTGTTATACTTTTTCACTTACTACGTATTATAATATTTATTCTATTCGTATTAAATGTCAACATTTTTTACTGAAATGAGTTTTAAACTTGTGACCACTTCGAACCAGGAGGTTATAGTGATGTCATCGAATCACGGTATGCTTAAACCAATACACATATATTGCTATTGGTAGCCATTTTTACCAAACTAATTCAATTGGGTAAAATGAAATTTTTATTAAAGACCGTATACACAAAAGTGTATTGCATACATAGTTCTCTTTATAAATCTAATTGGATTATATTCTTCTCACAAAGGATACTTCAGTGATTTACTTTTACCTCTTCTAAGAATCACCGTGTAGTCATGTAGTCATGTACTGTCTATATTGCAAAATGAGTGAAGCCTAATTTATCTTTCAAAGAATCACCAATTTATGTATTGAAAATGTATTTTCACTTCAGTAAGAAAGTCTTCGACAATGCCTCCTTGATTCTGGAAGACGATTTCTCTCGCTGTCTACATTTGAGTCTAAATCCGGCGGCAGTACTGCAGCTCCTCCCTCTAATACCCTGATGATCTTTTTTTTGATAAAAAAAGAAATGAAGTAAGCCCTCTTATAGTCTTATCTGATACGAGTAATAATTAGAGAATATTTCAATTTTGACCCTACAAAAGTCGGATCATCTTCACTTTTAGCCCTGTTTTCATTTTTTGGTGTACCGCAATAAAGTTATACGTACCATCTTTGTCTTTCTGCCTTATATCTTACGTAGTATTTAAACAACCATGAAAAAAAACGTATTCAAACAACCAAAAATTTGTCTCTATCTTTTAAAATACGGAATATAATTGTAAATTTAAAGAAATTGAATATAAGTATACAGGACTAAAAGTGGTAATAAGACGATAATTAGTAAAAATTTGAACACGTGAAAGTGGGTGACCAAAAGTGAAAATTGGTGGATATAAAATCTACATTTGGGGTTGGGGAAAACCTTTGACATGGGAGGACGCATGTGAGGTTCTCGTTGCAAACACAATGAAGCAGCAAAGCCCATTGCATGTACTTCACGGGGTAAGTTTTGAAGTTGTGTTGATGCCAAATTGGAGTCCAACAACTGATGCTTATATGCCAAAATATGAATCGGATCCACCTTAGCTGAAGGGTAGTAATGATTCCCCAGTAAAATGTTCTTCCATTTGTGATATAGGAGGAAGTCACTTGTTCTTTTACCAGTAATCAACTCTAACAGCACAAGGCCAAAAGCGTATATGTCAACTTTCTCAGTAACCTTTCCATGAGTGAAGAATTCTGGTGCTAAATACCTAGAGCAGAGAAGAAATTAAACAATGTTTTCAAAATAAAAACTTATGTACTTGACAATGCTTAAAAGGCTAGGATGAAGAAACCAGTAAAGAGAACACGGTAATGTTTAGTTATTATTGAGCGCGCATGTACCCTGAAGTTCCAAGATGGTGTTTGTCATCTGAGAAGTCCCATTCACTGTGAAACCTTGCTAGCCCGAAATCTGTAACCTGATATAGTGATATGATCAAACATTAGTAAATGTAGATCTATATGATTTGAAACTTGCTATGGAGTTGGTGTTCCATTATGTTGGTTTTTATCTTCATACAGGCTGCAATAATAATGAATACTCTACTAACCTTGTTCTTTTGGGGACTAAACGAGACAGTGGAAGAATTTGGGGATATTTTTGGCTATTGGGCTGTACTGTTTCTATACACATTTATCCTTTAAATTTTTCTTTGAAGAAACGAGTGATGTCATAAAATATCCATATTAGTACTGGGAAAATAAATAAAATGTTACCAAAGGTTCAAAATCATGAGTTAGGAGAATGTTCTTCGGCCGCAAATCCCTGTGAACTATACATCCAACCCTACAGTCCTCATGAAGGTAGCGTAACCCTCTGGCTGTCCCTGTAGCTATCTTCAGTCTTGATGGCCAATCAGGAGCTTTACCGCTGTTTCCTGTCATATAACATTGCTAAGTCGCTAGCTAGAGTAACGTCGTAGATATATAATGTGAATATATTTTTATTTTTTAAAGGAAATAAACAGAAATTACCATGTAAATGAAAATCCAAGGACTTATGGCAAATATATTCATAAACTAATAGCATCCTGTTTCGTTGGATGCAGAAACCGATGAGAAGCACCACATTTCTATGCTGTGCACAGCTCAAGACTCGCACTTCCCTAGAGAAATCAGCATCAGCTTGAGAACCAAGAAACTTGAGCTGTTTCACAGCAACCACCATTCCATCCTTCAGAATACCTTTGTGAACCAAACCCACCCTTCCTTCTGCAAGAAAATTTTTGCTGGAGAACCCATCTGTGGCTTCCTCTAGCTCTTCATACGGAAACTCCCTGGGTGGCTTCCCAAATGATGGAGCATTCAGTTGACATGTTGAACATAGCGGGGGTGGTTTTGAAGAGACCTTACTACTTAAAGATACTGCTTCCCTTATCCCACTACGTGATGAGAGAGTAACAACTTTTTCCCCAACTGAGTCCATTGCTTTGGTTCCCCTACCACGCTCAAAGTCACTTTCTTTGTAAAACCTTCCTGTATTTTTGTTATTATTAGGACCTTCATATAGTGGATTGTGCTGGCAAAGAAGAACAGATAGATTTTGTGGTGGAGTTGTTCTCATGTTGTATAAAGGACTTGTTGGATCCTCTGGACTGCTAACAGGAGTTGAATGTTTCATTCTCTGGCTATAGCCATGTGGATTTATATGGTCCAAAACGGGTGAAGAGTGAGCAGAGAAGAAGGGGGTTTGTGGCGGCCATTCTTCTGAGCACGCTAAGTTGAGTCTAAGGACCTTTGGATGTGAACCTGCCTTGATGACTACAACATTGCATCGTAGTCCTTCCACGCAAACCTTTAGCTCATGTTTCAACTTTCTGGCTTAGAGAATACGAAAAATGAATTGGCATTTGGCAGTAGTTTTTTATACTTGCAGATCAGACGCAAATTACAGAAATATCTATCAGATCAAAACAATTAATAAAAAAAAATACTTCCTATATATAGTCCTATGTACGGAGTAGCATTATGGGAGGGTAGTCCTATGTAGTATGTAACTGTGTAGGATTACTCCCTTGAGCAATTTCTTTATCTTTTTCTTTTTTTGCAAAAACCTTTACAAACAATTTTAATTTTAACTTTCTTCTCTTTTTAAATCTGCCATCTTACCATCCCTATTCTCTTAGGCAAGATTAAAAGCAAAGATTGTCTTAGGGCCTGTTTATTTTGGACTTAATGAACTGAATGGAAGCACTGACTTAATGATTTAGTTATACACTTGCGTTTATTTAGGACTTAATTTTACACGTGACTTATTCGCTAAGTCAACTTACGGCTTATTGGTTCAGCTTAGTTTTAGCACTCCTTGCCGTTCAGACCCGTAGCTCTCTACGGAATGCCTTCTTTAACCCCATCATCTCCCTTTCA